AGGGGCAAGTGTGCTGAGTCTGTCCTACCATCTGGGCCTGCTGGCCGCCTGGCCCCATCCAAGTGCAGCCCCAAGTTCTTCTGGTACCAGATTCAAGGTCAATTTCACATTCCAGGGCTTCCCTGGTGGCACAGTGGTTGAGGGTCCGCCTGCCGATGCAGGGGACGCGGGTTCGTGCCCCGGTCCGGGAGGATCCCACATGCCGCGGAGCGGCTGGGCCCGTGAGCCATGGCCACTGGGCCTGCGCGTCCGGAGCCTGTGCTCCGCAACGGGAGAGGCCACAGCAGTGAGAGGCCCGCGTACCGCAAAAAACAAAAAAACAAAAAAATTTCACATTCCACAGGCAGGGTTGGAGCCCTCTGGTGACGGGCTTTTATCCAGAGGCACAGACCCACAGAGAGTGGATAAAGCACACCCGAGCTTTAATGCCATGTCTGTTCCCACTGCCAGCCTCAGGGGAGAAGAAATGGGGAGGAGTCTTAGCCAAAGAGGGGGGGGAGGCTTATTCCCTTCCTCCATGTGTGATTTCAGGCGCAGGACAGGTGGCCCTGAGCCTGCAGTTCCTCAAGGAACCAAGTCCCGTCTCTTCAGGCTGGAGGGGAGAGAGCTCTGTGGTTAGCGGCCCAGGGCGTACGTAGCTGTGTCCCAGAGGCGTGTCTTGCTGTTTGAAGCTCTCCTGGAGTTGGCCGTAGAACCCTCCTTAAGGGCAGTTGGGGCTCATCCTGACTGCCAGCAGAGTGGACTTCTTGGCGGGGCCAGGCCATGGTCACATGGAGGTTGACCAGCCATTGGCTTCAGCTGCCCTAGACCATCAGGAGGACAGGTGTTCCCGGTGGGGCCTCCTCCGAAGCAACACCAGCACACACTTTAAAGGAAACTTGGTGCCTAAATTCACACTCTTGTGTTAAAGTCTGGGCCTGCAGGCTGGAGCTACTTGAAGAGACCACCTGATGACCAAAGAAACTGTCACTTCAAACCACGGCTGGCCTGAGGGGTTCCCAGGCCCCAGGGGGAATTTTACCAGCGACCTCCACCAACACCCCTTCTCCGGGCTGCTTTCAGTCCTGCAAATATCTGAAGGCCTTGAGGTCCTTTCTGTTTGGTTAGAAATAAGGGGAACATCTTTGGCATGGAGGAGAATGACCCCAAGCCTTCCTCCCCATGCTGACCCTCAGCTTCATCCCAGAGGGACAGTCCCCGTTAGAGAGAGCCACAGCACTGCCCACCGTAGCTCTCCTGGCGTTTCGGAGGCTTCAGTGCAGCGAGGGTGACATTCCTGGCCAGAGCCCACCTGGCCTGTAGGATACACCCCTCTCCCTTCCCCAGCTGGCCTCACAGGCCTCCTGGGACCAGAAGGGATTAGTTTCCTGGAAAGAGATCTGAAACTGTGGAATTCTTCTGCCTTCAAGCCACAGAGGATGGACTGTGGTTACCGGGACCCCAGAGCCTTCTCAGTGTCTGAGGGCGCTTTTTCTTACGTGACGCATCAGACCTTACCTGTGGACTGGGGAGAGCCTTCCCTGGGGGTCTGCCTTTGAAATCGACTTCTCTGAACTGGAGGGGAAGGACCAATACCCTCAGATTCCACTGATGCACATAGCAAATGTCCATTTGAGCAGCGGCTCTGCCCACCCTCCTGGCAGGTTTGAGTGTCAGTTCCCAACTTAAACCGGCCAACAGCTTCTTATTCCCTTCTTATTGGCAAAGGTGTCACTCCCCGGAGTCACTTGAGAGAAGGTTTGGTTGGAATCACTTAGTCTCTTCATGTCGAGCCAAAGACTGAGTTTAAACCCGTGGTCATTAAACCAAACGCGTTATTGACTCCCCTCAGGGCTTTGAGTGTGGGCAGCTTCCCCAGAGCCCTCCTGCCAGCCAGCCCCAAGGAGTGAGAGTGCTGCGACTTCATGCACAGCTGGGCCGCCCCCGGACCCTGGAAGCCCCTCCCATCTGCTTAGGAGTGTGGCTGACCGGGAGCCCCGCTGGCTGATGGGAGGGCCCAGAAGGGGTAGGTGGTCTGAGGCCACGTTCTGCTTTGCCTCTGACCCCATCCTCTGGGAAGCTTTCCCAGATGACCCCTGCCTCCCAGTAGTGATCCCCACCTCTCTCTCTGAGCCTAGTGGCTCACTGCCCTGAGCTGCAAAATCTCCTATATAAGTTCTAGTTACCTCTGCTGGAGGGTCTTGGTGCCAGGTCAGCCCACGGCTAGGGTCACACCTCAGGGGCCTCCTGGGAGATGAGGGGGGGTGACAGCAGCACAGGTGGCCCAGACACCCCACCACCTCCAACCAGACTTGCTCTAGACCCACCCAACCTGGTGTAAATCCCCTCTCTGCCGCTTATTGGCTGGGTGACCTTGGGCAAACGTCTTAACCTTGCTGAACCTCAGTTTCCTCATCTGTGAAATGAACATTATAATAGTGTCCACCTCACAGAGCCAGAAGGAAGATTGAATGAAAGAATGTGTTGGCCTCAATAGAAGGAAACGGTTGCTACCCATTATATTACTTATATTGGTTTTAAATATTGAGCCTATGGAAACATTTCATTTGGTAGAGGAGAAAAGAAATTTGCTGATAAAGAAGTCTGAGAGCCATTGAGTTCCATCCATGCAGCTCACTTTATACATCACCTGTAGCCAAGAGAGGCAAAGGAACTTTTCTGTGTGGATATGACCTTATTTATGTCTTACTGGAGAAAAAGTGCTTTGAGGTCAAGGACCACCCTGGCTTCACCTTTTAACACCCCTCCCCGTGCATGTGCCCAACACCAGGCCGGGCCACTGCGCGTGAGGGTGGGTCCTCCCTGGCTGAACCCCATGACAAAGTGTGTGTCTGAGTGCATACAGGTGGCAACTCGGGTGCCTTTCTGAGGTCCCAGAAATGGTTCTGTTTCTCCCCATGGCACGCCCACCCAGCGTCTCTGCTTTTTGCTGACTCACGGCAGGGTTAAGGCCACACCCTGGCACACTGTGTTTCATCTTGCTTACTTACAAATATACGCTGGGCACCAATTCTGTGCCAGGCGCGGGGCCCTTCAAACCAAAACTGCCCCAGCCGTCAGGTCTCTTCCTGAAGCCAGTTCACCCATGGCCTCGGTGGCTTGTCCTAATATTTGATTGCTCTGAAGTAGCCTGGAATCACTGATGCCCAAGAGGCAGCTGCCAGGATTCGAAGCAAGTTCCCCAAGTCTCAGAAGCAAAAATGACCAACCCCCAATTGTCAAATCTTGAAGGGCCTGTAGGGCATCTCTGGAGCTGCTCCCTCCTGTTACAGAGGAGGAGATGGAGGCACGAAATGGCCAAGGGCAGAGGTCAGAGCAGAGCTCGGGACTTCCCCAGCGGGCCTCTCACTCTTGTGGCCTCTCCCATTGCGAAGCACAGGCTCCGGACGCGCAGGCTCGGCGGCCATGGCTCACGGGCCCAGCCGCTCCGCGGCATGTGGGATCCTCCCGGACCGGGGCACGAACCCGCGTCCCCTGCATCGGCAGGCGGACTCTCAACCCCTGCGCCACCGGGGAAGCCCTCGTTCATTGAGTTTTTAGTGTGGGGAGAGGGGGATGGTCCAGGGCAAAGTGGGAGGAAGGTGGGGCGAAGGTGCCGCCACCCAGGATTGGCGACAGCAGCCCTGGGGAGATGTGCTCTGAGTCTGCGGGGTCGTGTAACGGGCTTTGCCTGCGCTTGGGTGTGCAGGCGGCATATGCTGGCACAGCGGCCGCCCCCAACACACATACCTGAGGCCTCCCCCGCTCAGGGGCTAAGTGAAAGCCTGCAGAGAGGATCAGGGAGGGGAGGACCAGGCTAGGGGAGCAAAGAAGAAGGAAAGGACTCAGGAACGGCGGCATTCAGAACACTGGGGAGATGTCATTCAGCGGGGCCATGCCAGGCTGCTGCAGGCGCCCCCTCTAGCCCCAGGATCAAACCCCCAAGAGACACCACCCGGTGGGCTTAATCAGCCCCCAAGTTACAGTTCAATAGCTGGGAAGAGAAAGCAAGCCTTTCAGATTTCAGCATCTTTAGGGGGAGAAAGATGTGTCTACATCCTGTGCTTTGGAGCCCACTCCTGGCAGTTTTCTCTGTTATCCCTGTAGTTGATTAAAGACCCACCTGGTGAGTAAAGAGCCAGCAGACGGTGAATGAAGTGGGGAGGGGAAGGGGTGGCTGGGCTGCCTCTGGCTGTGTCCGCACCTTCCCAAGGGGGCTGCTGCTCCTGGGTAGGACCAGAACCTCTTGGAACCGTCCGTCCCTTCAAACTTGAAACATTCAGGCCAGAGGCAGCTTAACTGGAAGGAGAACAAAATGACAGTGCTGACATCTATTGCACGCTTTCTGCTACCTGCCAGGATCCGGGCCAAATGCTTGACCCAAAAGCTTCATTGATTCATTCCTGGAGGAACAATTATTACTGACCATCCTCCTGATAACAGCCAGGCTGTACCAAGACCAGGGTCCCAGAGCTACAGCGGCAGATGTGGGAGTGGCACGCAGACCTACCAACGCCGAGGCCGTGCCCGTGTCACATCCCTCCCCTCGCCGCTGAGCCGTCTGTCCACCTGCCCCTTTGCTTAGTCCAGACCCTTTCACACATGGCCTCGAGGCCGGGCAGGGGGCCGTCTCACGTCTGCCCTCTGGGGACGCAGCCCCCCACCCCAGTGGCTAAGGGACCGGGGCAGCTCCGAGGGGCTCCCTACACTGTGAGGCTCACACCTCCCACTCACACCTCTGACCGCAGTCCAGGACGCGGGGATGTCGTGATCCATGTTCTGCAGAGCGGGGCTCAGAGTAGCCACGTAGCCTTACGAGGTCACACGCGGTGTCCGTGGCAGAGCCCGAAATCTGACCCTGAGTCCCGGCTGGTTCACCACCTTCCAGCCCAGCCACCTTGCCAGGCCGCCTACCACGGTGCAGGGGCCCAGGACCAGGTGCGGGTAGGAGGGGCCCCCGAGGCCGCCCGGCGCCCTGCCCCCTCCCTCACTGATACCTCCTCTCCTCTTCCTCCCCGCAGTCCCCAATTTTCATCGCCCAAGTTGGCCGGGACCTGGTCTCCCAGACGGAGAAGCTCCTTCAGAAACCCTGCAAAGAACTCTTTTCTGCCTGTGTGCAGTAAGTGCTCCGGCCGCCGGCCTCCCTCCCTGCTTCCCGGCCCGGGGCGTCAGGCCCCTCCGCCTCCCCTCGGGCTGCCACACAGTCACCTGGCAAGGGGCTGCCTCTAGCCTCCACCTGAGCGCTGGGCACCCGGGGCAGGTCTTCAGTGCCTGAGGGCCCAGCCAAGCCACCCAGCGCTTGTACACTTCTCATGAAGGGAAAAGATGCCAGGGTGCCAAGTCCAAAGAGAACATCTGCTTCAGATGGTGTCGAAAGCAAGTAGCTCTCCAGGCTGTGGAGACAGAGGAATGTGCACGGATCTGACGCAGTCTGGGTGGTTTGGAAATCCTTCCCAGGTCCCCCCCACCGCCCACTCCTGCCCCCATCACTGCCACCCACCAGCGCTGCAGCATGAGCTGGGCTGCAGGCTGCCCTCTCAGCCACACCCCATCACCTCGTTGCAGGCTGTACGGCAACCATAATGGGACATGAGACAAGTCAGTGGGTGTGGGGCAAGCCGTGCACCAATTAAGCGCCATCATCACTCACACGCTTGCCGTGAAGGCTTAAGCAGCTAGGCTCACACCCGTTCCTGCGCCCACACACGCACCCTCCCTGTAGGCTGACGTGCAGCCACACGAACGTACGTATGTGCCAAGATCACAGCTGGCGTGACTGCACCCGTGTTCAGACTCTGGACCCCAGACATTAGTTGAGTGCCTGCTGTGTGCTGGCACGATGCTGCGTGGGGGAGGCCTTGTGAGCAAGAGCCCAGTCCTGCCCCCACGGCTTTTTGCCAGCGCCCCATGCGCTCACCATGGGAAGAGCTGGGACATTCAGGGGCGCCAGCTTGGGGCCCAGCCCTGTGGCAGGTGCTGGAGAGAGCCCACCGTAAGCAGAAAAAAGCCTGGTTGCTGCCCTCCTGGAGATGTCCGAGGGTCAGCTCTGACGGCGGGTGAGGTCCCTGGGTTGCCTCCTGACCTTGAGGGAGTGGCCGTCCTGGCCCCCGACGCCAGCCCCTGTTCTCAGGTTTGGCAGGATACAGCCTCCAACGAGCCCCAACTCTGCGTGTCGCCTCCCTTCCCCAGGTCCCAAGCGTCTGGGCTCGATTGGTCAGCGTGGCCGCTTTTTAAAGGGAAGAAGCCCAGCCCTGCCTGCAGCCAAGTTCAGAGCCGTCCAGGGCCTGGCCTAGAGCCTGGCCCACAGCAGGTGACCAGTAAATTCTGCTGCAGGGTTGAAAACCTCCCAGGGGCTTCACTGGTCCCAACCAAATCTAGGGCCTGCGCCCTTCTGCCCCTTCCCAAGACACCCAATCCCTCCATTGCACATAGTTAAATATTCCTCTGTTCTCATCTCAGCTCCTGTCCCTTCGTCAGAGAGATCTCCCTGACGCTGCTCGGGACCTCGCTTACCCCAATTCACGATAACATGCCCCTGGGGTTGTTTATTTGTTTGTTATTTGCCGTGTGTGTCCCCCATCGTGCTCCCTGCTGTATCCCAGAGCTAGAGCAAACCCCCAAGGCAACTACTTACTAAAGGTTTGCAGGGTCAGTCAATCTCAAACAACCTTTGTAGAATGGGGGAGCCTCTCTCCACTCCTGCTGCATCTGTTGGAGGCCCCTGTGTATTTGCATTTCCAAAGTCTGGAAGTGGATGAGGCCGGGCTATAATCTGCTGGTTATGGCTCTGCCCACCTGCTCCAAGGTCAGGGTTGTAAAACGTTCATCTGTTTGTTCCCTCTGAGCTAGGTCTGTCCACGACTACCTGAGGGGAGAACCCTTCCACGAGTACCTGGACGGCATGTATTTTGATCGGTTTCTCCAGTGGAAGTGGTTGGAAAGGTGAGTGCTCCCTGGGCACAGCCCCCCCCACACACACACACACACGAGTGTGTGCCAGTGTGTGTGTGTGTGTGTGTGTGTGTGTGTGTGTGTGTGTGTGCGCGCGCGCGGGGTATTGGTTTTTCACCTAAGTCCTATAGAAGTCTGTTACCTCCCATGGGCCCATGGTTCAGATAAAATTCAGCGTTCTCTGCCTGTTAATTAAGTTCTTGTGTATTCTAGATATGCTGTATGCGTATTAACATTACACACACACACACTCATACAGACACACGCATACACTCAGCCTCTTGTTCTTACTTTTTGGGGTCACCATCTTCGGGAATTCTTTCTCTGCCAGCAAATAAAGAGCTGCCATATTCTTAGAAAGATTTGCACATCCCTCATGTAACCCAGCCCCCTATTGATGGACATGGAGGTTTCCCTCAATTTTGTGTGCAGCTTTCCCGGAGTAGTGAATAACTTTGTACATACATCTTTATTTTTGCAAATACATCCATAGAAATTCCTAGCAGATGGGAATTCCCTGGCGGTCCAGTGGTTAGAACTCAGTGCTTTCACTGCTGGGGTCTGGGTTCAGGCCCTGGTCGGGGAACTAAGATCCCTCAAGCCACTCAGCGTGGCCACAAAAGAAAAAAAAAGCAAGAAAGAAAGAAAGAAATTCCTAGCAGAGGAATTCCAGGGGCAAGGTTTTCCGCTGTGAGGGACTGCTAGATTGCCCTCCCAAACTGCTGCCCGATTCCCAGTCCTGCCAGCGCCCAGGCGCTCACTTGTCCTCAGATTCAGCAACACTCTTCTTGGTGCGTGAGAGCCGGGTTTCCTTCTTGTTTATCTTTTCATCTCTAATCATGGGTGAGACCAAGCATCTTTTCATGTGTTTCATTTGCCGCCTTATTCTCTGCAAAGTGCTCTCACACACACGGTGATGACTTGGCCGGGCAGAGGTGACCTCCGTGTGACTGACAAGGAAGGAGAGGCAGGGAGGATGTGGCTTGCTGGGTCACCCGGCAGGGATTAGTGCAGCCAAGGAGGGGACCCTGGCCCAGGACCCCTAGAGCGGTGCTCTGCCCACCACAGTGTCCCAGGATTTAATGCTTACATTAAATCCATGCTGGGTTAGCTGGTAGGTGAGGGTGGGAGTTTCCCCTCCCACTGCTCAAGGTTCCTGTGCCCCAGGGGCCTGGCACTCACTGCCATCTGGGTATCTGGGCCGTGGTCAGAAAGCAAGGAGCCCTTCTGCTCCTGCATGTATATCGGCATCTTTGCTGGCCAAGTCCCCTGCAGACACTTAGGACACATACCTGTGGGACATGAACCCCCGAAAAGCCGAATTCACAGCACTCCCTGCCCACTTCAGGAAGCCCTGAGGAAACACCCTGCCCTGTAGCCTCTGGAGGACGTCTCTCTCCACCCTGACCCATGGGGGTGACAGAGCAAGCAGTGGACGGTCTTCTCTGTTGGTGCACTGCCTGCCACTGGCCGCCTTGCCCGTGCACGTCATGCCTCCAGGAGATGGAAAAGCCAAGCGTGGGCCACCAGGGGCCCACAGCCTGGGTCTGAGTCCCAGCTCTGCCTCCTCCCTAGGGGCTGGGGGAGGGATGCTCTCCACATCTTGGTTTCCTCACCTGTAACGTGGGGATAGTAACACTGCCTGCCTTATAGGCATGGGGTGAGGGTGAGGTGAGATAGCACCGCACACATGAACAAAGCCAGCCTTTGGGCCTTGGGAAGTAAACTGCTGAATGTAATTGTTGGGATGAGTCGTCACTGAGCATCACCATTGCCGTCTCCTCCCGCTTCTGATATTGGAGGGAGCAGCTGACCCTTGCGGAGGACAGTCTGGTGGGGAGGTATTCATCTTGCCTCACCTGCCGCTCTGGAGCCCTAGGCTGTGTAACACAACCCCACCTTCCTGGGGTGGCAGAGTCAGGACACCGAAAGTGGGCTCTGCAGCAGGCTTCCTGGACTCCACTTCCAACCCAGCTACTTACCAGCCGTGACCTTGGGCATCTCATTTCACCTCGCAAAGCCTAAGCGTTCTCATCTGCAGAATGAGGACAGTAATAGTCTCACCTCCTGAGGCTGGTGTGAGGATTACTTGAGTCTATAAGCTGCTTCGAGCAATGGGGATTGTTACCATAGAGACCCCCAGAAGGGGCTGTGTCCTTTATCCCAAGAGTTCTAATAATGACATCTGACACTCAGCAGCTTACAAAAAGCCTTCAGATGCATATACCATTTTACTGAAGATGCAAGGCTCAGAGAGGTTAATGGGTTGGCCCTGGGTCACACAGCAATGGCCTGGCAAGGGTGGAGCCTGAAGTCCAGGTCCCTCACTCAAGTCCTTCACTCTTAGCCCACCCAGCACTCCTGTTCCAATGGAAGCCTTTAGCTGTGGCCACTGGCTTTCACTTTACTTGTCAGTACCAAACACATGAGATGGAGAAATGGACTTTTAAAATCTGCGTGCTGACTTCAAAGGAGTTATGCCCTTTTGAGGGCGTTAAGCTGTTGAAGCCAGCAGGGCAGGACCCTGGCCTAGAAATGCCCTAAATGACTGACAGCACCCCGCCTTCCCCCCCGCTCCCTTTTTTTTCTTGCTAAAAAGATCATGGCCTGTTGGTGCTATACTGTTGAAATATTAAAGGAATTTTTTTTCCCTCCGAAGGTTAACCAAGAAATTCCTCGGAAATTGTATTACACTCATTTCCCCCAGCAGAGGAGCTCTGCGGTAATGTCGACCGACTGTTTGTTCTCCACGTATCGTAAACTGTTAGGCCTGAACGCCTTCATGTGGTTTCGAGGGCAGCTGGAAGAAACGCTTCCCAGGGCCACATGGCAGATGCAGGCGCATGGCAGGTTTGCTCTAGGCCGGCCACTCATGTGTAAGATGCAGAGCAAGGGGGAGTTCTGCCCAGGGGCAGCCTGGGCCCCGCTTCCTAAAGAAACACTGGAGAAGAGAGGGTGAGTCACAGCACATGAATTCGAGACAGGCGTGCCAGGGAGTGCTCCGGAGGTTTCAGGGCGGCCCTAAGAGAACAGAGTGGTGCCGAAGCTGTGATTTCTGGTGAATCCCAAATCCTCTTCAGGACCCAGCAGCGAGAAGAGTTTCCACGGAAGATTCATTCAACAGCTGCTGGGCGACCAGAGGCTCACTGCTCTTTCTCGAGCGAAGCCAGTTCTTTGGCCCAATTCAGTCTCACACCAATCCCCGCCCTGGTTAAGACTCTTGGGGTGGGGTTGGGGGATGCTCAAAAATGGTCATAGAGGGTCGAAAAAAAAAAAAAAAAAAAAGTCCTAGAGAGCCAAGAACCAATTTTAACATCGTAAAAGCTGCTTGTTCTTATCTATGAATCAACTGACGGACATTTAGGTTGTTTCCATGTTTTGGCTATTGTGAATAATTCTGCAATGAATGTAGGAGTAAAATATTTAATGTTTATAAATGGACCATAACTCAGCCTAAAAAAGAAGAAGGAAGTCCTGCCATTTATGACAACGTGGATGGACCTGGAGGTCGTTGTGCTAAAGTGAAATAAGCCAGACACAAAAAACGAGTACTGCATGACCTCACTTACATGTGGGATCTAAGATATTCAGATTCATAGAAGTAGAGAGTAGAGTGGTGGCTCTCAGGGGTGGGGAGGGCTTGGAGAAATGGGAGTTGTTGGTCCAGGGCACAAGGTTTCAGTTATGCAAGCTGAATAGGTTCTGGGGATCTCCTTTACAACATGGGGACAGTAGTTCACGGTACTGTATTATTTACTTAAAATTTGCTAAGTGGGTAGATCTTAAGTGTTCTTGGAAGAAAGGAAGGAAGGAAGAAAGGACGGAAAAAAGGGAGGGAGGGGGGAATGTGAATTTTGTGAGGTGACAGAAGGTTAATTAGCTGGGTAATCATTTCACAATGTATACATATATCAAACATATATGTTTGATAAAACAACATATATGATAAAACAAACATATGTTTTGATACATATATCAAAACATCAATTTGTACACTCCTTGTCAATTATACCTCACTAAAGCCGAAAAGAAGAGGGAGAAAACCTGATTTCCCTTTAGCCAAACAGGCCAGCGATGAAAAACCACACGCTATCTGCAAGGTGGAGTCCTTTGCTGCAACTAAATGGCCATTTATTTATTTACCCCACAAGTGCCATCCTTGGCTCCTGGTCAGAGGCTTGTCTCATTAGACATTATAAATGGCTTTGGTGGGACTTCCCTGGTGGTGCAGTGGTTGAGAGTCCGCCTGCCAATGCAGGGGATACGGATTCGAGCCCTGGTCGGGAAAGATCCCACCTGCCGCGGAGCAACTAAGCCCATATGCCATAACTACTGAGCCTGCAATCTAGAGCCCGCGTGCCACACCTACTGAGGCCCACACGCCTAGAGCCCGTGCTCCGCAACAAGAGAAGCCACCGCAACGAGAGAAGCCCGCGCACCGCAGTGAAGAGTAGCGCCCCACTCGCCGCAACTAGAGAAAGCCCGTGCGCAGCAATGAAGGCCCAATGCAGCCAAAAATAAATAAATAAATAATTTTTTAAGAATGGCTTTGGCTGATTAAAATGGGGAGTTGGGAGACACAAAAAGTTTAGTCATAAATACGGCTTTTGGCAGACAGGATCTTCTCGTGTTCTGGGGCTCAGGGGGGTTACATATAACACAGCGCCCTCGGTGGCGGGAAGCCTGGGAACCGCCGTGAGAGAATAACCAGACTGGACCTGGAGACCAGCAGTCTCTGCCCACAGGAGGCCAGGTCTTCCCGGGGCAAGTCTGCAGGAAGGAATAGCTCGGGCACCCCAGGACGGGAGGTGCAGCCGTCCTGCCCTCCTGCCGTCCTGCCGGCAGGTGTGGGAGGGAGGGCTGCGGTTTCCTTTGTGGCCTCCGTGGGACACCAAGCCTCTGTGGCTCCTGGCCCCCTCCCCTCTCCCTGCACTGAGGACACAGCTTCCTCCTGAGTTTAGCCGCATGATTTGCATTTGGGAGAGAGAGGGGAACCACAGGGAAAGTGTGGTGAAACAGCCTCCGCTCAGCTCTTCCCTCCCAGTGCAGTCCTGAGGGCGGCAGCCTGGGATTTGAACACCCAGCCCCAGCCCCAGAGCAAGTCCTCAAGGGTCCCATCTGCAGCGATGGTTCCAGGGGGTCCCCGGGGCCTGGTCTGGCAGTTTGTGCCTGGCACTGGCTCTTTTCAATGCTGCCCTTGTCTATTTCTTCTGGATTCTGCATCTTAATACTCCAAGTCCCATGTTGGATTTTTGCTTTTTTCCAGGCAACCGGTAACCAAAAACACTTTCAGGCAGTACCGAGTACTAGGAAAAGGGGGCTTTGGGGAGGTAAGTGAACATCCACGTATTCATGAAAAGTTTCTGGACTCTTGTCACCTTTTCTGTCCCTTCGGGCTTGGCCGGAAGTGTTCTAAGCATGGCTTCCGAGCGAATGGCTTGGTCATGTGTCCCCGATGGAGATGGAGGGTGAGGCCGGGGCCTTGAGAAGGTCTCTGCTGTGTCTGAGGTGAGGAAGGAGGGTGTCTGTGCCAGGGCAGCCGAGCTGGAGCCAGCCTCAGGCAGGAGTCAAGTCTGGGGAGGAGAAATGGGCACTCTTGATTGTGTTTGGAGGGAGAAGGGAGGGCGTGAGGGGCTTAAGCATCCTGGCCACACCATGCTGTTAGTATGCGCTGTTTTACTTAATCTGATCTTCCCAATCCTTGTTATTCCCATTTTAGAGATGAGGAAAGCTGAAGTTCACAATGGTTAGGTGACCCAGGCAAGGTCACACAGCTGAATAGGGGCAGAACAAAGACCAGATCCAAATGCCCTGGTTTCCATTCCTCTGAATTATACAGTCAGGGTTCACAGGGGTCTCCCATCACTCCCCCCGCCCCCACAACAAGCCTCTCCTACCAGCAGCTTGTGCTTGCAAGTCCCCAGTTATCAATGGCTACATCTGGCTAGAAGCTTGGGACAGAGAAAATCTAGTTGCCCCCGAGAGAGGAACAGTTCTTTAGGCCTCAGCCAGCCATCTAAACATTGGTGTAAATGGCTGACTCTGCACCTCCAAGGGCTAGGATTTGCCTAAGGTGCCACCAAAGCCAGATCTCAAGGGCAGGGCCCTGGGAGCAGTGGGTCCACGGCCAGGCATCCTCCAAGCCCCAGAGACACAGCATCCTGGCCTTGTTTCACGTGCCGTGTGCCCTTGGCTTCTTTCTTGCCCCTCAGGTCTGTGCCTGCCAGGTTCGGGCCACGGGTAAAATGTATGCCTGCAAGCGCTTGGAGAAAAAGCGGATCAAAAAGCGGAAAGGGGAGCCCATGGCGCTGAATGAGAAGCAGATCCTGGAGAAGGTCAACAGTCAGTTTGTGGTGAGTGTCGGGGCCCCAGGGACAGGCCCCCGCCTGGTGACTGGGACTTCTGCCCCTTAAGTGGGACAGGTGTTCATCCCCCAGGGCATGGCATGCAGTGAGGGGAGTGGGCTGCAGAAAGGAGCCCGACACTCCCTCCATCACGAGGCACCTGGGGGTCAGTTGGGGCTGACAGTGGTCACCAAGCTAGACTGGCTCCCCTCTGGGCGTGAGACCAGGCTTCTCTGAGCGCCTCCGTGGACGAAAGAGGCCCACGCGGGGCCCAGCCAAGGAGCTTTGTTTCCACAGACCCCTGTAGGCTGGTTTCATCACAGGAGACCGAAGTGTCAGGATCCTAGAGAGGCCCGTCTGGTTTATATTCGTGTGTTACTGCATCCAGGCCAGGCTCTGCTGCGGTAACAAATCAACCCCAACGCGAAGTAGCTGAAAATGGCAAAGGCTGTTCTTTTTCTCACCCAAAATCCCATCAGATCAGACCACCTTCCTTCATCTTCCAGCCACACCGTTCCCGGGAGTGTGGAGAGTGAATGCTGGGGGCTCTGCACTGCCTCGGCTGCAGTGACACCCCTCACTTCCACCCACAGTCCTCGGCCAGAACCGGTCATGGCCAGGGGCCAGCCAACCGCAGGGGAGGCTGGGAAATGTGGAGGAGGACTTGGGTATTTGGCCAGCTCTCAGTGTCACTGCCACTTGTTATTATAAAAAATAATATATGCTCCTAGGTAAAAAGTCAAACAGCACAGATGGGCGCAAAGTAAATATAAAAGCCTCCCTCTCTAAGTAACCATTCCAGACGTGTTTGATTCATGTACAGATTTTATTACTTTTAGCCAACGGGATCTTACTACAAATCTTAGGCTGCAGTGTTTTTCCCCTTAAATTGTAGAGCCTTTTCTACAACCAGACCAACAGCTGCATCTCTTTTTTAAAGCTGTGCACCATTCCCCAGATGCACAGGGAAGAGCTAGGCCACGACCTGTGCAGCCAGTCCCCAGGATAGAAGTTGTTTCTGGTTTTGAAGCCACCGCAACAAATAAGGCTACCGTGTCCATCCTTCAGCATCCCTTTGGCATATTTCTGTGAGGGTGTCCGTGGGGTGGACTCCTGGTGGAGGAATTGCTGTGTCAGAGGGTGTGTGCACGGCCCCCAGTTTCACTCCCACCAGCTGTGCGTGAGGGCGGGCCACGCCATCCATGTGGTGCTGCTGTCATTGCCCAGAGTGGGCTGGGCTTTACGAGATGATACCCAAAGGGGGCAGAAGTTTTAACCACCTGATGCACACACATGCTTTTGTGACGTAAAAATGCAGACACTGTCCTGTCGGGACCCCTGAAAGGTGCTGGCCCGCCCCTTCCGGCTTTGGCCCCTCACCTAGAACCACCGAATCTGATGGAGGGGCAGCGGCAGGGGCACCAGGAGGCTGTCAGGGCGCAGGGGGTGGCGTGAAGCTGCTGCAGCTCCCGCACCCTAGCCTCCCACCCAGCATCAAGGCCCGGGAGGAGGAGTGGACGTGGTCAGAGGGTCCCCGGAACCCCACCGCAGGGCTGTCTTGTGCTCCCAGGTCAACCTGGCCTACGCCTACGAGACCAAGGATGCACTGTGCTTGGTACTGACCATCATGAACGGGGGGGACCTGAAGTTCCACATCTACAACATGGGGAACCCGGGCTTCGAGGAGGAGCGTGCCCTGTTCTATGCGGCAGAGATCCTGTGCGGCCTGGAAGACCTCCACCGTGAGAACATCGTCTACAGGTGAGCGGGCTCCCCTCCCACCGCCCCCCAACCCCGGTCCCCCCATCTGCGTCTGAGCAGGTGAGGCTGACCCTTCCATGCCCTGGACTGGATGCTCAACCCCACCCTGGGAGTCGAGGCCCGGGCATTGCCCTTGAGTCAGACAGGCTCCCGCCCAGGAACCGAGTAAGGGAGGGAGGCCAAGTGTTCCCTCAAGAGTTGATGAGGTTGGGCCACTGTTCCCTTCCCAGCCAGCACCTGCGAAGCTCAGTGGAGCCTGGTGGCCTGATCCAGAACAAACCCCAGGAAGACTTTAGCAGGATCACCACCGCAGCAGGCATCAGAACGGACCCCGTTCCCTCCCACACCATCCAGCTTTTTAGGACCAGGTGTCCAGATTCTGTGTGCAGTGGCCCTCAGGCTCTTCTCACAGGCCTCCTCACAGAATTTTGAAAATCTGTGTGCCCTTATACATTTTAAGTAGACATCTGAAATTGTCCCTCATGTGTTAAAAGAGTGGCTAATACTGATATTTTGAAATGGAGCTAAAGTGACATCACATTTCTAAAGGTATCCAGTGGAATCTAATTGCTGTAGCAAATTGATTTCCACCATCATGCAGCTAAAAAAATGCATGAAAACTCCTTAATGGTGAGGAGTTTTCTATCTTTTTCTTCTTTACTCCCCTCCACCCCGACAGAATAGTTATTATAATGTAATATTTTTGGCATAAAAGTTATCGATTAGCATTCCACTCTGAAATATGTGGATGTATGTAAGATTTTTTTAAAATTTCCTTTGACCATAAGGCTCTAAGTGTTAAGATAATATATTCTGTTGAGTTGACCTTATAATTATTATTACTAGATCCCACCTCTAATTGGGATCTATGGTGACTGGCTCCAGAGCCACAGTCACATTTAGGAGTGGGGAGGAACCTGCTCTTCTGTCAACTGAAGCCACCAGCACGTGGGGGACCCCCGCCCCCCAGCCGCTGGGGACACACACCCCAGTTGGAAGACCTTTGCCATGGGGCTTTTGTCGGAGATTATCTTGGGAGGCCAGAGAAGGTTTTGAAAGCAAGAGGAATGGTCTTGATGACATGCGCTTCCCCCCACACCATCTCCCAATTTATGCTTTTGTTTTGTTTTCCTTCAAGTGGGAAGAGAGTCAGAAAATTTTCCCTGAGGGTTGAAGAAAGAATCCTCCACTTGATTGCTTTTCTCTTAAAAAAAGAAAACAGGCATCCCTCCAAATTCTAGCCCTTCCCCTATGGAGGAAGGGAACCATGATGCCTCCCCGGCCCCGACCACTTACCAGAGCCTCTCTGGGGGTGTGGGTTTGTGCCCACTAGCCAGCTGTCTTTCCAACCCGGTGGTCGGTGAGGGCTGATTAATTGCAGTGATGACTCCTGCCCCTATTTGGAATGGTTAACACACCAAAAGCATGCAAGTTAACAACAGCAACAAAAGTATGTCGTAATAAATAACTACATGCAAACACCAGTTATCACTTTGTGAGGCTGCACCACTGGATTTGGGCACAGGAACTGCTCCCCATGAGGTGAGCTGCCCTCCGTTTGATGAACAAAGCCAGTTGGTTGAGAACCGAATCCTCAATCTAGATGCCATGTATTGTCTGCCCGATGGCTTAACTGAGTTGCACACACTATCCTGTTACTCTTTAACTCGTGGAGAAAACCTTTTATTAATAAAACCAGGGCTTCCCTGGTGGCGCAGTGGTTAAGAATCCACCTGCCAATGCAGGGGACACGGGTTCGAGCCCTGGTCCGGGAAGATCCCACATGCCGCAGAGCAACTAAGCCCGTGCGCCACAGCTACTGAGCCTGCGCTCTACAGCCCGCGAGCCACAACTACTGAGCCCACGTGCCACAACTACTGAAGCCTGTGCACCTAGAGCCCGTGCTCCACAACAAGAGAAGCCACTGCAATGAGTGGCCCGCGCACCGCAACGAAGAGTAGCCCCCACTCGCCGCAACTAGAGAAAGCCTGCGCACGGCAACGAAGACCCAATTGCAGCCAAAAATTAATTAATTAATAAAATAAAATAAAACAGACACTTCTGCTGCCTCCCCCCTGCCAGTGGGAGTGGAGAGGTTCCCTTTCTCATGAGCATGATCATTTCATCAAAGAGAAGAGAGACGTTAGGGACAGAAGGAGGTGTGGCTGCATCTACAGCCGTGCCCTCTGTCTGTGCTCTCTCCCAGGCTGTGGCTCAGCTGGAGTTGGGAGATGTGTCAGGCTCCTGGGGGCCCCCTCCCAAAGTGGGTCTCTGTCCTGGAGGTTACTGTTCTCCCCAATTCTGCGGCTGGTTCTTTGTCCTCAATAACTTCTATTCTTTCATTCCCAGACCCTACTCTGCCTTCAAGGCATCCTAAGACCTCAGGGTCTTCTCAGCCCTGGAGGAGTCTGTCACCACTCCAGCCAGAAGTGTTCTTAGCCCTGGGGCCATCAGTGTGTGGACAGGTGCCAGGACTAGCCTTTGCCTAACTTCCTTTTCAGTCACTCTCCAGGATCAGGGAGGCACCTATGGCAAAAAGCAGCATTTGCTTTAAATTACTGGAGGGAGAGAAGTTAGCACAAGATTGTCTTGACCCAGAGAGAGACCAGACCTCCTGAGCCCAGAGTCGGGAAGGAAACACTCAGCCCGGGTTGGCCCAAGGGGGTCCACCCAGACGCTGCTCTGCCCTTAGCTCCCAGAACAGCCACACTCACATGCTGGCGATCTTTCCCTTTCAGAGATTTGAAACCTGAAAATATCCTGTTAGACGATTACGGTAAGTCAGGCAGCGGCCCGGGGATCCTTCTGCTCTGCAGCCGAGGTGAGCGTCGCAACCCAAAGGGAGCAGGGGTTCCCCCAGCGGAGACTCAGAGACACTTACCCGGGGTCCACGGGAGGGCAGAGGGCATGGGCAAAGCTCCTACCCGGCAAAGAAGCCGTGCGGCTCAGCCGAGACAGAGGAGAGGGAGGGAGAGAGAGCCGCACGCCAGAGAGTGAGCAGTGAATGAGGAGTCGAGAATTCCAGAGACTCTGGGCCAGTCCTTAACTCTCACACAGCTTCCCCGCACCTCATCTTCCTTGTTTGTGAAATAGAAACAGTGGGTCCTGCCCTGCCTGCTTCAGATGGTGGAGGGTGGTGGTGAGGTTCTGACAAGATAGCTTGAGGAGTTGTTTTATCAACTATAGCCAGCTATAAATGTGTTAGGCGTTATTACTTGTCTACCACCATTGTTATTTTCTTGTGTGTTTGTGTGTTTGTGCACACACGCACGGATAACAGGAGCCACCACAGTAGCCCCTCATGACCGTTCAGCCTCTCATGCCGGGGAAGGGGTTGTCACATCTTCTATCTAACTAGATCTCATCTCTACAGAGGGGGCAGGGCCGGCACCCCTGTGCCCATTTTACAGATGATAAGATTGAGGCTCAGAGGAGCCAAGCTGCCAAGGTCACTCACCCAGCAATATCAGTGGGGAGTTGAGACCAGAAACCAGGTCTCCCTGCCAGCATGCCCCAGACATCAGGCAGCCCCAGGCTGATGGGAGAGAGAGAGGGAGGGAGGGAGGTTGTTCGTGACCAAGAGAAGAGGTTTGATTGTGATATTGTCATGTGGCGGAGCAGGCAGAGGGCTCAGGGCCCACTGCCCCTCTCTGGATGCGCCCAGTGCCTGCAGGGGTTCTTGTTCCCTGCTGGTTCCAGAACTGTGCCCACCACTGATTTGTCGCCCAATGGCTGGAATCTGTGTGCTCTCTCCCCCTCCCACTACCGTTCCTGCCTTTGTCAGGGGCCACTGAGCCAGGGGAATCCACTCAGCTGCAGCCTAGCGGGGTCTCTGGAGTTGGGCCTTGCTGAGGTCCAGGCTGGGAAGGAAGGTAGTGTTCCTCCCTGCAGGGTCAGATGAGGCCACGACCCTGCCAGCTGGGCCGCTAGGAGAGACAGCACTGAGGCGAGCTCTCAGCACCACGTCGTCTCTGCCTTTGGGGGTCGGTCCTGGTCCAGGAGCTCCAATGCCTCCCCACAGTCTCTGCTAAGCCTGGGTGGCAGTGTCTCCAAAGGGAGAAAACAACCCCCAAAGACCAACAAGGCAGCACAGGGAGTTGCTTCCCAAATTGCTTTATGATTTTTCCCCTGAAGCAAATTGTTGCAGAATGTCAGGAGACTCTTACATTTTCCCATGAAGCAATCCCAGAATCAGGCCAAGGCATTTTAAACTTTGTGACATCAGCCTTCCAAGAAGCCCATTAGGGCATTTTATGAGGCAGGTCTGCGATCGTCTAACCAAATCCAGGCATCCTTTTCATCGTTAAGTTTTTCTCCTAAAAAGTAATACTTTACCCCTGTCCTCTGACACCTGGACTCTCCCAAGGGTCTGCAGTCACCCTGCCATGGCAGGTTCGGTACCACTCTTTCTAGGACAGATGAAATGCCAGGGGCCCGTGGCAAGTCTGGGGCCCTGCGCAGGGTAGACCAGATGTCCACATGACCATCCCAGGGACCTATTGACTCTGTTGTCCTCCCTCAGGCCACATTAGGATCTCGGACCTGGGCCTAGCCGTGAAGATCCCGGAGGGAGACCTGATCCGCGGCCGGGTGGGCACTGTCGGCTACATGGGTAAGTATAGGCGTGGCCTCTCACCAAGCCCCGCGCTCAGAGCCACTGGCCTCTGTGCAACTAGTAGTCATGCTGGGAGGTGGGAGGTCTTAGCCAGGGTTGGGGGAGCGTTGGGGCCCCAGGGCGCAACTTGACTTCACTGAGCTCTGCAGCTCCCACCCCTAGCCCCAGCTACATCTCTTGGGAGGGCAAGCCCCTCCCAAGGTCAGTGGCAGAGCTGACAAACAGCGCTGCCTGGGGGTGGGTGGAGTAGGGGTCTGCTGAGTTGGCAGACAGCCTTTCAGGGTGACCTTGAGAGGTGGGAGATCATTAGGAAGGGTCCAGAAAGGAGAGGAGCACCCCACCTACTGTGTCACAAGTACCATTCTAAGGAGAGACCAGCCTCGGGCTCCCTGTGCTGCATCCCCTAAGCCTTCTCTGAGACCATCATCCCGGGAGCTATGGGGAAGAGCCCCAGAGCTACACCGACCCCTGGAATGCTCCTTCCAATAAGGGATATTCCTTGGGCTTCCTTCTGCCCACCTCCCACTCATAAGCCCACTCACACCAGGAGGTAGAGGACTCCTGAAAGCTCTGGGGGTGTGGGAACCTTGTTTTCCTCTACCGGGCTGTTGCCAGCAACACATGCTTAGGGTTCTAGACTTGGTCTCTGGTGCTCGAGGGTCCTTTTCAGATTGCACAACATTGGAGGACCTCTGGGGTGTGTATCTGTGTGTATGTTGGGGGTATGTATACCCATGTGAATGCTGAGGGATGGATGGACAGATGATAGGTAGATAGGTAAATAGATAGATAGATGACAGGTGGATGGATGATGGATGGATGGATGGATTAATAAATGGGTGGATAGATGGGTGGATGGGTGGATAGATAAACGGGTGGATGCGTGATAGATGGGTGATGGATAGATAGGTCCATCTGTGCACCTTTGTGTGTGTCTGCCTGTGCATCTGCGTCTTCTACTCTTGCACAGAGTGTCTGCACAGCACATAGTGTGGTGTGCATACCAGCACATGTGTGGACGCATTTGCCTCCCTGGATGAATGTGGCCTGCCTAATGACCTGAAACTATCATTTTTGCATTTCTATGGTGAACCTATAATTCATTTTATCAAAATGTTAGAGAAGCTATTTGAATTCCAGCTAAATTTAAAATCGTTTTACTTTGAGTGGACACACCATTCATTGAAACAAATATGTGTGCAGCACCTACTGTGTGTCAGGCATCGTACCTGTTACCGGGCACAGCAGGGAATAAGGTGGCTCACAGTCTAGTGGGGGAGGCATCAAGGGAACAGGTTGTTTCCATCCACTGTGGTCAGGCTTCTGAAGCCACAGTCAGAGTCCTGGGAGCACAGCAAAGAGCAAGCAGGGCAGGCTCCCAGGAAGAGGTGGTATTTACAGCAGTTGGTGGGCCAGGGTTGGCAGAGGGAAGAGGTCTCAGCCATCAGGCTCCAGGCCTTCTGTGAGCAGCAGCAGCACTCCTGGCTGCAGGACGTCCCGAGGCCCCGTTGACATCGCAGTCCTGGCCCCGTCTTCCCGGGCTCTGACCTGCCACCAGCTGTCTCTCACCTCTCCTCGCCTCCCTGCTCTGCCCCCAGCTCCAGAGGTCCTGAACAACCAGAGGTACGGCCTGAGCCCCGACTACTGGGGTCTGGGCTGCCTCATCTACGAGATGATCGAGGGCCAGTCGCCCTTCCGCGGCCGCAAGGAGAAGGTGAAGAGGGAGGAGGTGGACCGCCGGGTCCTGGAGACCGAGGAGGTATATTCGCACAAGTTCTCCGAGGAGGCCAAGTGCATCTGCAAAATGGTGAGCTCCCGGTGAGCCAGACGCTGCCCCGGGGCTGGTGTCCAGTGCTGGCTCCCCTCCCGGCCCTTAGCCAAGAACAGCAAACGGGCTGAAGGGGACAGGGTCGGGGCACGCTAGGGTGCGGACGATGAAGCCACCAGGCCGGAGGAGCAGGCTGTGGACTGGGGCGGGCGGTGAAGGCTTCCAGGAGGGAGCCTGGGGTGGAGCAGGGTGGCTCTGTGATAAGGGAGGGGGCTGCGTGACAAAGGGAGACACCCTCACGTCCAGCTCTGTGGGGAAAACCAGCATGGGGAGAAAGGGGATGATCCTGGCTCGCCCCCAAGACACAGAGGGATCCAGGCAGCCCCTACTCTTGACCTTGGGTCTCCTGCTGTCTCTCCAGCTCTGGACCCCTGGGTGCTGGCTTGAGGCCAGGGGCTGCAGGTGGGGGGTGATGATCGTTTCAGTCTTCAAACATCTTATACTCGAGTTTTCCACCCACTATATGGAATGTTGGTCACACTTGCTGGGGCCCTGCGTGACAGCATCCATGGATAGTGAACTTGACCTGGCCACAGGCAGGGCGCACTCGGGGAATGACCTTTAGACAGGCTGGGTGGG